CCATTCCCCCTCACAGCTCTCTGGGAGGCCTGGCCTGAAAATCCTGTGTCCTTTTGTCCCCTGCATGGGGAGAATCTGAGCTTGAAACCACCACCCCTGATTAAATCCTCCAAGAAGCAGCAATTCTGTGTGCTCATTACTCAGTTCTGGCTATGTTCTGCTTAATAACTAAACACTAATTAGCTGCACAGTTTTGCTACTATACTTATAATAGCCCCCATTAAAGTTATGGGGTTTTTAGGCAGTAATGGCTTACAGAGTAATTAACGAGCAAGAGGCTTTTATTACTACCTTTATTTTTAGCCTGTGCTTTACAAGCCTGTTCTGCCAAATGCCAAAAATCTTAGACAGAGGCTTGGAGTGCCCATCCCCTGCCAAGAAGAGTGGGAAGGAGCAGGGATGAGTGTGGAGCACCTGGAGCTCAGAACCGCTCCAGAATCCCAAAATTCCAGACTGGTTTGGGTTGAAGGGAACTTAAATCTCATCCAGTTCCACCCCCAGCCCCATCCAGCCTGGCCCCTTGTCCTGATCCTGCCTTGTTCCCAGGGACTGCTGTGCTGTGACCACCCCGTGCCTCAGTTTCCCCTGTGGGAAGCGGGCAGGACATCCCTGTACTGCCATCCCTGGCTCTGATTTCTGTGCCAGACGCCTGCCTGAGCCTGAATTCTGAATCCAGAAGGGAATTTTGGGCTTGTGGGTTGAGGTGGGGCAGAGCAGAGGCACCAACTCTTGTCTTGTGCCACTCCAGCATCACTTTTCTGCAGGGATCCGACCCAGCTGCTGTTCCAAAAGTGAAAGGTTTGTGTTTAGATTTTGGGAGGGAAAAGCCTTTGGTGAGAATATCCTGAAGTGTGAGTGTTTGTGTTCTTTGCAAAGCTTTTGTTGCAGGTTTTGGCAGCCTTTGTTTGTTATTTCCCGGCTTGTTTGGAGCACAACAAAGCCTTTGCTGTGTTTGTTTGGGGATTTTTTTGGGTGTGTTTTTTTCACATCTAGACAATGTTTTTACTCCAGTAAGATGTATAGGTACAAATTCAAATCAAGCCGTTCTTTAGTTTAACATTTTCTAAATCACTTCTCTTCAGTGTGGGCAAACCAAGGATTAATGACACTGGGGCTGAGCAGCCCCTGAGGAGGAATGAAGGTAAAAATGACTATAAAGGTTGCAGATCAAATCACTCCTTCCTATGGCAAGTGTCAGAGCTGATGCCAATTAACTTGATTTAAAAAAAGAACCTTCACTGTTTAATAATCCAGCATGTTACTAACACGTGGCTCCAGGATTTATTAAAGCTTTTTTATTAGATCAGTGCCCTTTCCATATTGTCATTCCTCGACACCATTGCCCTCTGCCGGAGGATGGGGATTTCTTTCATCGTGTGGCACCCGATTCTTCCCAAAACCATGCAAAACTCCTTTCTTTTAGGAGTACTTTAACCCCAAAATCACTTACATTTGAGCCAGTGATTTGTGGCTTTCACCTCACTTTTCAAAAGTGGAAAAAAAAAAAGGCAAGTTACTTTCATACTTTCTGTAGTGGAAAATAGAGTTTGATTGTTTTAATTGATGTTTGAATTTGTTCCTCCCTCATTTCCCTGGGGAAGAGGAGATAGGAGAAGTTTAAATGTGACAATCTGAAGGAAGCAGGTTTTGTTTTGAACAATTTCAGTGAGAAAAGGAGAGTGGTGTTGATGGGGAAGGGCTACAGTGAATGCCTTGAAGAGGAGCATAATTTCTCCCAGACCAATTATTGTCTAGTGCCAGAAACAGCAACAAAAATCATAGCCTGGCTTTGGCAACAAGGGAATTTTGGGATTTAGGAAAGCCCTCTGTCTCAGGCTGCAGAGCTGTGACTCCTCTCAGCAGCAGTGTAAAATCACAGGCTTCCATGCAATTCCTGGCTGATGCTGCTCACAGGAGGAAATGGATTTCACCTTTTTCATTCAGCTTTGGCATGTGATGAGAGGGGGAGCGTGGCTTTGTGACACTGAGAGCCCACGTCACCTCACACCGAGGCACTCAGTGGCATCAGGGTGTTGAGAGGGAAGCTTGAAAAGCTCTGGATGGAGATTTCACAGTGCTCACAGCTGCCCCAGAGGAATTCTTACCACGTCCTTCTGCCAGGATCATCAATAAAAGCAAATCCCTTCAGGAATCAGCAGTGAGGAGATGCTGCAGAGCAGAGCCTGTGGTGCTCCCTGGATGTTGTTGGGCAGCTCAGGGTGCAGTGTGGCCAGAACTGGGGTCAGGCTCTGGCTCCGTGTCCCTGCCAGCCCCCCATCACCATCTGGGACCCAGCCTGGCCCCGTGGCCCTTTGGGGACATTCACTGCAGCCACGTCTGAGTGGCATCTGCAGCCCAGGAGCGCCGATGGTGCAAAGGGAGCTCAGCCAGCTCTGGGGGGACAGGGAAGGGAGCACTGGAGCATTCCCTGTGCCTGGCAGCTCTCCCTGCTGGGCCACGAGTGGGCTGTGCTGGCCCTGGGCAGCCCATGGTGACAGCTGAGTGACCAGGGAGCTGCTGAATGTTCCAGAGCAAATGGAAGGGAATCGACGCTGGGGACAGAGCAAATCACAATCATTGGAGCCTGCTCGTTCTCACCGGTGCTGAGGGGTTGGAAAGCAGAGCAGCACCCCAGCACAAAGCAGCCCATTTTCCATCGTGGCAAGCTCAGCCTGTCCCATGGGAAGAGGCTGAATTGAGCCTGGATGGGCAGGAGGCAGGGAAAAGGCAGATTTAAGGTAGGGGCTGTGTTGGAGGAAGCTGCCCATGACAAACATTTGGTGATGCCAGCCCACTGTGGCAGCTTGTGGGGCTGTGAATGGGCTCTGGGTGACTTTTTTAGCTGCTCTTTCCTCCCAGCCCCTCTCCAGCAGCAGAATCCTTTCCCTGGTGCATTTCTGGGGAAGGCACTGTACCGGGTGTTCAGCCTTTCCAGCTGCCCCATCTGGCCCTGCCCTGCAGGGATGCTCAGGGGACCTGTTCCAGCTTTGTCAGAGGATTCCAAGGATGCCAACACTCCTTGTCCTGTGTTCAGGCACAGTCAGCAACCACAGGGACGGCAGGGATGAGGCCAGATGCTCTTTCCTCAGGGCACTGTGCATTGGCAGATCAAGGCCAGCGGGAATTCTCTGGCTCCAGGAGCTGGACAGGGACGCAGCAGAAGGCTGATGCTTGCTGGAATAATTCCTCCTTTTCCTCCCTGGTTTATTTTGTCTGAATGAGGCTGCTTTCACCAATTCTGAAAATAAATGAGGGAGCTCTGACTGGGGAACTGGCTGTTTGCTAGAGTTGGCTGGAAATTTTCCTATGAGTTTTGGTTTTATATGCATGGGAAAAAAATTATTCACTGAAACTTGAGTTGAGGGACATTTACATGACATTTTAAGGACAAAGCCCAACCTATGACCTCTTTCCCTCTTGTTTTCCCTGGTAAATTAATGTCTTTGTGATTGAAGTGCTAATTTGGAAGAGCCAGGTTCTGTCCAGCCACTTGAATATTGCTTGATTGCAAGATTCCCTTAGAGGAAAAACCTGTCAGTTCTTGGAGCTATTTCACTCCAAGTGGGCTCAGTGCTGGGGGCTGGCTGTACAGTGGCCAAGGGAAACTCAGATCAATCCAATTTGGGCTAATCAGGGATCTGGACCTGGACTTCTCCATGCAATCAAGAAAAAGCTCTGGGAAAACATCTGCACAAGTAGCGTGTCACCGAGGGGATTTAAGGAAGGGACCTGATAACTCCCAGATCACTGTCAGCAGGAGAGCAGCGCTTTTCCCAGAGCATCCTGCTCCTCTGCAGTATCCCTGGGCTCTGCCTGCCTGCACTGCAGCCCTTTTAGCAGCCTCTAATGCGCTGCCCCACATGGGAGCAGCAGCACTAAACTGCTACCCGTGTTTGCAAACTGCCCACCGCGCGTGGCAGCCCCGCTAAGTGCTGCGCTTTGCTCGCCGAGGCGCCGGCATGAAATACAGTCTGCTTAAATCTTGTATGTGCTCGTGTTGCATCAAACTAAGCCATTGTGGCACTTTAATATACTCCAGGCACAGCACCTCTGAGAGGGAACCAACCTGAGCAGGCTGCTGGAAGCCGGAGCTAAAACTGGCTGTGCTAGAGCTGCCCGCAGGATGGGCTGAGCTGAGGGAATACTGATGGGAATGATGCCTTTTTCTGGGGCTACCAAAAAACAGAGGCCAAACAAAATTAAGGGGATAAAAAGCAGTTCTATTTATTGGAGGGCCTTCAGGTGCATTTAGGGCAGACAAAGCCCCCCAGGGGCTGCACCCAAAAAGGACCATGGGTCATTGGTTTCCCACTTTTCTAAGTTTGGTCCATTTGCACATTGGGGTTCATCTCCCAATTCCAGCTGCAGGGAATGAAGGAATTTCCCCCAAGTTTGCTGCCCCCAACTCCCTTTTGTTTCCATCTCTGGGGGCCTGAGGCAGTGAGGTGTCCTTGATTGCCAGGCCTGGAGAGGAATTGTTGTGTCTGCCCAAAGTGGGGAAGCAGCAGCTCCCAGTGTGTGTGGAGTTTGGAGTTCCACACTGAAGGATTACAAATTACAGGATTACAAATGTATGAAAAATAGAAAAGCTGAAATCCTAAGGCATCAGGAAAAATATGGGATCACGTTTCTGTGCCCCAGGAGCAGAAGTGTAGCCACCCCAGGGCTCTGCCTGGCCAAGGGAGAGGATCTGGGGGGTCACAGCATGTGCTGATGTGTCAGGCTGGTGTGGTGTGGTTATGGCAGTCTCTGCTCCTCCTGTGGGCTTGGCTGGCTTGAGGGGAAGGCTCTGTTCCACTGGGATGGCTCAGACAGGACTGAGAATCTTTTACTCGGCTGACAAAAGGGACTTGCTCGACAAGGGGATGCAAAGGGAAAGCACTGGGTACCCAGCAGGCACCTCCCAGCACTGCTGCTGCTCACTGCCTCAGTGAGGTTTGTTCTTCTCCAGGAGAACTCTGGCACTTTCTCTGCCTACTGGCCTTTGCTCTGTGTTGCAGGTTTCCTTCCACATGAGTCCCTGAGGTTCCTGCTGGCAGCTCCAGCAGTGCCCTGCAGAAGTGCTCTCCTGCTCCTGGGCTCAGCAGCCGAGGCCCCTCCAAACCTGCTTCTGCAATGGGTGGGTTGTAAGCACTGGTAAGACCCACGAGTCGTGTCGCCTTGGCTGCTCTCTCCCTCTCTCGCGTTCTCTCTCTCTGTCCTTGCTCCTTCCTGCCCATTTATTTCTGTTCTCCATGTGCTCTGCTGTTCTGTCTCTGGGGTTTTCACTGTCAGGTAATGAGGAGCTGTGGGCCCAGTCAGTCTTGGAGATGCCGAAGAGACGAGACATCCTGGCTATCGTGCTGATAGTTCTGCCCTGGACACTACTAATCACCGTCTGGCACCAGAGCACCATTGCTCCACTGCTTGCAGTGCACAAGGGTGAGAGAAACCAAACCAGCCCATGCCAAGTCCGTGCATCCCCCCTTCGTCCTCATCTCCTCTCTCATTTCATTTCTCCATGGCAGCCATGCTCATCCCAGCTCCCAGACCATGCCCATGCAGGAGCCTCCCCACCTCTGCTGTAGGAACAGCCCAGTGCTCGTAGGGGCTCTTCAGAGGCATCAAACTCCACGCCATGGGATGTGCTTGCTGCACTTGGAGAGCTCTTCATGGCCTAAATGCAGAGTGCTGCTTCTCTTTGTTCCCTGAGAGAGGATTCCCTCCCTGCTGGCCTTGGCAGCGCTCTGCACACAAAGTTACTCCTGCGGGAAACCTGCAAGAGAGAGAGCAGAGGAAACAAAGCTGCCACTCGAGGCAGCTGCTCTGGGAGATGGGAGGCTGAGAGCACTTTTTAAGCAAAGCAGAAAAGCAGTGTTCTTGCTCTTGAAGGAGAAGGCAAGAGCCAGATCTCACCTGCCTGGGGGAGTTAAAGTGCACTGAGAAATTGATTCCACACTGCCTGCCACACACTGCAGTAAACACAGCCCTGGTCCAAGTCAGGGGGCTCCAGGAAGTTCTGAGGGAACCCTTTTAGCCAGAAGCATCCCAGTTTGGTCCTGTTCTTGGCACAGCAGCAATATCTAAGGGCTATGAGGGCTCTTGTGGGCTGGAAGACTCCACTCTGCCTTCTGCCACCTTCCTTCTTGGTTCTGCCCTTCTGCTGTGGGCAGGCTGGTCTGGGGGAAGAAGACCAGATCGTTTTCAGGACCCTTTCATCCTCTCTGGTCCCTTTTTCTGAGGGATTCTCTCCCTTTTCAGTGTTTGTCTCCATCCTCCACAGCTGCTTATCCCTTTGCTGGACACTGATGTGCGGTTTGAGTCCCAGGAAGTTCAGTTTTCACTTTGTCCTGACAGCCACCTCTGAGGCTCTGGGCAGAGGAGAAATCACCTCTGATCCTTCTGGAAGGTGGACAGTGTTTCAGAGGAAAAGGGATCTACCAGGCTCTAAAAGTGGACTTTAAAAATGACTAAAAACACACTGCTGTATGTACAGCAGGTCTATCACTGCCCTAAAATCTGCTTTCTGTGGATGGCCTCTGCAGTTACAGCACAGAGACTGCTCCAATGGCTTGGTCAAGAATTCACCAGTGACCTTGATGAGACACTTTTCTGCTTCTCAGAGCCCCCAGTGGAAAGTGAGTGGTGGTAGAGATGGACCTGAAAGCTCTTGAGAGGAATAATTTTGTTCTTGTGAAGCTTCTCTGAGATGCTCTGCTCACAGGTGCTGAGTGAGGTGTGCACCTGGAGATGCCCAGAACAGCAGCACTTCCCCGTGCCAGGGCTCACAGCTGAGCCTTTGACCTGCAGGGCTTTGCAAACTGTCTCAGGCACCATCCTGGCTAATTACATTCTTGTCTGTGTCCAATGCATTTTGCAGATTTATTTCTGAATTGATTCCAGCGTTCTCTGCTCTCAGAGAGCTCTGCTGTGTGATGCTGAGGTGCTTTGCAGTACTTAGGGTGTGATAACAACATGTACCCTGTTCCCTCCCCCAGATATCCACCCTGCCCCTGTCAATGCCGTGCAGTACAAAGCCTTCATTTGGTTCAGGTATCAAAGTCTGTGCTGCTGGAAGAATGACACGCTATGAAAAAGCCATGGGTAGTCCCCTGCTGGATCAGACCTAATGGCTCTCTGTTCCTGTTCTTTCTCATCTCAAGTTCCTGGTAGTTACCTGATTGTGAAGAATCTATGGCTCAAAATGTTCTGTGCCCACTGGAGAGGCAGCCTTACATCCTGAGCAGGGGTCCCACTTCATCTCTGCAGACCATGGCGTTCCCGCTGCTCTGCAGTGCAAAACGTGGAAGTTACACCCTGGAAAAGTGGCAGGGGTGTCAACACTGGTTTTCCTCGAGCTGATTGCGATTTGCAGGGGTTTTATGTTTGGATCAGAGTATCCGATCTTCAGGCTGTTCATTGCTCATACCTGCAGCCCTGAGGGGGATGCTATGTTCAGAGGCTGGAGGGGTCTTTTTGAGGCAGGGGAAAGTCTGTGCAGGAAAAAACCTGCAGTTACAGGCTTTAATTCCACTCTCAATTTAGAGATTAAATCCATTAAATCAATGGATTTAAAGTGTGTCTTTCCCCACATCTCTGTGCCTGTCAGAGAGCAGTGGGGCACTGCCCAGACCGTGCTGTAGGGGATCTTCGTTGGCCTGGTGTTTTCCACCAGGTTTTTCCTGCCTCCCAGTCCAGGTGTTCCAGCTCCTGAGTGCAGATCTGTGAGCCCTGTCCCACTGAGCATGGTGCACTGGAGCTCTTCAGGGATGATGGATCATCACTCCACGTGGCTATTTTCTTTATCTAGATCTACAATCCTGTCTCTTCTGGGTGCTTTTTGAAGCTGCTTGTTGCGAGCGCTCAGCCCAGTTGTCCCGGGCTCTCAGACCTTTTTTTTTTTTGGTGCTGATTTTCTAGCAGCAGAATCTCCTTTTCTCACATGTGTTTGTCCCTGATGCCTTTATTTATCCGTGCCCTTATCTATGAAAGCCTCCACCCGAGCCTGTTTCCTCTGCTGGCACCCACGAGGGTGACCCGCTGGTGGCCGCAGCCCCGGACGCCCGAGTCCATGCGGCTTTCTCTTCTCTCCATGCCCTTGCCCAGATGATGGTGGTGACTCCCAGCGTGATCTCGCTGCAGGCTTGGACTCCAAGGAATACTGCCTGTCGGACCGGGACATAGTGGAGGTGGTGAGGACAGAGTACGTTTACACGCGCCCACCCCCGTGGTCAGACACGCTGCCCACCATCCACGTGGTCACCCCCACCTACAGCCGGCCGGTGCAGAAGGCAGAGCTGACCAGGCTGGCCAACACCCTCCTGCACGTCCCCAACCTGCACTGGATCCTGGTGGAGGATTCCCAGCGCCGCACACCGCTCATCACCCGCCTGCTGCGGGACACGGGGCTCAACTACACCCACCTCAACGTGGAGACACCCCGCAACTACAAACTGCGGGGGGACATGAGGGACCCCCGCATCCCCCGAGGCACCATGCAGAGGAACCTGGCCCTCAGGTGGCTGAGAGAGACCTTTAACAAAAACAACAGCCAGCCCGGGATTGTTTACTTTGCTGATGATGATAACACCTACAGCCTGGAGCTCTTCGAGGAGGTAAGAGCCTGCTGGGGGGGATGAATGGGGCTGATTAGCCTGGGGAGGGGGTGAGAGATGCTGTGAGTGAGCTGAGGAGATGCTGGGCATGTCCTCTCCTGGGCTCTGGATGAGTTTTGGCTGTAGTCACTGTAGCTGTGCTCTGGTTTTCTTGGGAGCTCCGTTACTCTGTGTGCTTCCAGAGCCAAAGCCTCCCGTGGGAAGCAATGGGAACCCCGGCTTATCTGTGGTGTGTAATCAGGAGGCAGCTTCCATGGAAAGGGAGTTAATGAGGAGCTGCTTTCCCCTGTGAAAGTCTCGTTAGGGTTGGAACATCCCCTGCTGTCCATCGTGCAAAGAAACCTCAGCCATCCTCCTTCCTCGCCTTGTCCTGGAGATTTCCAGCTGATCTGATGTTATCCACCTTCCTCCTCCACCACTTGGTTGTCTGTTAATTCCTGTCTGCTTTTATTTGAGGGATCCTTTTCCTTCCCTGCGGTTTGCCTTTGCCTCCTCCCATCCCAGGGTTAAATTCTGTAGCTGTCAGGCCCCGGCTGAGACAGCAGCCACCCCTGAGCTGTGTCAGCACAGCCACAGCCTTTCCAGGACATCTTGTTTAGAGATGTTCTCTGTGCTTGTCTCGAGGAGCAGGAGTTTGTCAGAGATTTTGCTTCCCCTCCTGGAAGAGCTGAGCCCTCCATGCATTGCCTGGGCGAGGGATGTCTCTGTGCCAGGAGATGTGCAGCCTTTCTCCCCGGAGCCATTCCTGTTCCAGCACTTGGGCATGGATGTGTCCCAGACTGCTCTCAGCAGACAGAGGGGCTGACATCTCCCCCTGGAAGTTGGCAGCTCCAGGGCTGAATTTCAGCATGTCCTGACAGTCTGGGCTTGAGGAGGGGAAGCTTTTCCTTGGGCTTTTGCTCTCTGTTCCAGTCCAGCTGGGGCTCTAAATGAGCTCCTGTCTGCAGGTTTGAATGGTCTTACAGTGCCAGGTACCTCACCTGGCTCCCAGCTCAGAATTTACTTGTTCCCTTGCTCTCTTGACGCCAAATTCCTGCAGCAAGGGACAAGAAAGGAGGATTGCTTCCTTCCCCACCAGCTGCCAGTTTTCATAGCAGGGATCTCCTATTTATTTCCTCATACATGCCTCTTTCCCTTCCCTGATGGTTCTCACTTTAGCTTTCACAGCCACAGGAATACACACGCTTTGAAAGCTGAAAGTGAATTCAGACTGAATTTCTTTCTTCCTCCATCCCCTTTGAGGCTGGCTCTGGCGGCATCTTGAGACAGACTCCTCACATGAATAAAGCAGAAAGGGCTCCTTCATTCACTCGTGTGCTGTGCACATAGAGGCTTCTCCTCTCAGATATGTCTGTGCAGTTAAGGTCACCGAGCCAAGGAAATGTGCTGTGAAATGCAGGAGACACACATTATTGTTCCCTGTGGACAGGGGCTGCCGTTAGCAGCTGTATAATGCGGAAGGGCAAGTGCCAGAGCTCTTCTGCACTCGTTTGCAGTAATTAGCAGTGATGAGATTAGCTCTGGGAGATCCCTGATCTAGGAGAGTGAGCTGAGAGCGGAATGGGAGGCTGAGCCTGCCAGGGAGCAGGGCAGGGTGCTGGGGGTGAGTGGCATTCAAATCATCTGCCTTGGCAAGTGCAGGTGGCCAAAGGGGTCCCTGGTGGCTCCGCTCCTTTTCTGGTGACCACGGGGAGCAGAGGCACTTTCCACAGGGCAGGAGCAGCAAGACAGGACTGTCCTGCCTGCTGGGAATGTCTGGAGAGGCTGTTCTTCCCAGCTGTCCCCCAGGCTGGGAGCTGCAGTGCCTCACTCTGGGAGAGGCCCTTAGCTTTACACAGCCTGAGACTGCAGCTCAAATCACAGAATCACCAGGTTGGAAGAGACCTCTACCTTCAGGTACATTAAGGGCAGATGAAGCCTCCCCAAGGGGCTACATCCAAAATAGACGATGATCATGAGTTTTTTGTACAGATATAAATTTGGTCCATTTATATCAGGGGTTAATTCTCCCATTACAACTTTAGGCAATTAAGTTATTTACCCGCAGTTTTCTCCCCCCCCATCTCACTTTTTGTTTATACTGAGACAGTGAGGTGCCCTTGAGTTTCGGGCCTAGAGGAATTGTTTTTTCTGACCAGGATGTGAAGACAGCAGCCCACACTCCGTATGGAGTTCAGAGCTATACACCTGATGCCTTCAGTTTTATCTTTCACAGTTTCCAGGTTGTGCACTGGTCCCTAACTCTGAACTCCACACAAAGTGTCAGCGAGTTCTCCTCACAGCTCAGGCACACACAACAATCCTTCCCCAGCCCCACAACCAAGGGCAGCGCTGCAGCTCCAGGCCCAAAAAGCACAAGCAGCAGGGAATTGAGGAGAGCAATCTGGGAGGATGGGACTGCATCACCTGCAGCTGCAATTGCACAATTCACCCCGAGATGGAAATGGACCAGAACTGATCCAAGGGTGAAACTCCTGAGCCGGGGCCCATCTTGGGTGGAGCCAGGGCTGGGCTCTTGCAGTGCCCAAGGTGATCCTTGGAAGGGCTTTTAATAAATCCCTGCTTTATTCCTTTAACTCTGGCCAGCCCCTGCTCCAGGAGCCTCTGAGGAATCACACCAGAGCAGAATTTGAAAAGTATACAAGATAAAATCTGAAGGTGTCACATGAGGTGGTTGTGCCAGGGGCTGCTGGTCCCAATAACTGTATAAATGGTGCCGATAACTGTATTTGTCCTGGTTTAGGGCAAATTTGGGAGAGAATCTTTGAATGGTGTCCCTCCAGAAAGCAAATTCAAGCACCCCCTCCTCTAAGTGGTTCGGGAAGAAGGTTTTCTTGGGGAAAAGTGGAAAAAACTGTTTACTTAACAGAAATTGAATAATATTAAACAATAAAACCTCTCACTGTTTGCAGAGATGGGAAATCCAGAAAAGTCCTTTCCATGGGGTGTAGCTTGGCTTGCTCAGGCTCTTATCAACCCCTCTGGTGGTGGAAAGTGTCGAGGCCCAGGCCCCGGTGGGCCACAGCCGTGAGCTCCCGGGGTTTGGCTGTGTTTGCAGTCCAGAGCAGGTTTGAACAGATCCACGAAAAAAGGAAAAAAAACCCAAAACAAACAATCCAGGGAACTTCTCTGCCTCAGCTAGCTAAAAATTTAGCTGCCAGCAAAGGAGAGCTGGTGTGGGCTCAGCGTGTCCCTGTGTGTGCTCGCCCCCAGATGCGCAGCACCAGGAAGGTGTCGGTGTGGCCCGTGGCCTTCGTGGGCGGCCTGCGCTACGAGTCGCCCAAGGTGAACGCGGCGGGGAAGGTGTACGGCTGGAAAACCGTCTTTGATCCGCACCGCCCCTTCGCCATCGACATGGCCGGCTTCGCCGTCAACCTCAGGCTCATCCTGCAGCGCTCGCAGGCCTACTTCAAACTGCGCGGGGTCAAGGGCGGCTACCAGGAGAGCAGCCTGCTCCGAGAGCTGGTCACCCTCAGCGACCTCGAGCCCAAGGCTGCCAATTGCACTAAGGTATGATCTCCTCCTCGTGTGGGGGTGCTGAGGAAGGAACCCCTGTTTTCCCCATTGTTCTGTCACTGCACAGAATGTTCTGAGTTAAAAGAGGCCTGCCAGGATCATCCAGTCCAAATCCTGCCCCGAAAATCCCAGCCTGGGCATCCCTGGTAGTGCTGTCCTGGAGCTCTGGCAGCCTCGGGGCTGTGCCCGTTCCCTGGGGAGCCTGGGCAGTGCCAGCACCCTCTGGGGAAGAACCTTTTCCTGATATCCAACCTGAGCCTGCCCTAGCACAGCTCCAGCCGTTCCCTGGGTCCTCAACAGACACGAGAGGGATCAGTGCCTGTCCATCCACTGCCCCTCATGAAGAAATTGCAGATGGTTATGAGCCTCCCCTCAGTCTCCTCCAGGCTGCTCCTCTGTGTTTGGAGGGAGCACACCCCCATGTCATGGAAGCTGGCAATGGGGGATTATGCTAACGTGTGAATTATGCGCTAAATCTCTTTCAGTTGCAGGCTGCTAGTGGTTGCATAAGCCTTGAAATACAGTCTTCTCTCCCCTGTAACTGTTCTTCTTTCTTACATTACCCCTAAAAAATATTATTTTCAAGGTGGGCTTTCCTGTGGCCTTGCTGATCCCCTGGAGCAGGGAATTCCATGGGTGAAATGTCAGTTATTTAATGTGAATTCCTGACTGGGGGGTTGAGTGCTGTGGCACGCTGAGGTTTGGCTCTGTGGGCCCCTGTGAGCTGTACCCCAGGAGGAACAGCCACAGCCTTCCCTGGCTGCAGGGAAGGGCTGCTCACACAGTCTCTGCCTTGCTGCCAAGTTGTCTTCTCCCTCCTGACATCTGTGCAATATCTGTGCTGTAGGTGCCCACAAAAACCTGGATCTTTCTCTGTCAGAGATAATACAGAAATGTTTTAGTGCCTGGGATATTGCTCTGAGCTCCAGGAGGCTTCCAGGAAGCTCCATTTGGGGAGGATTTTACTGCTGTCAGCTGATCAACATTGCTGGGTCAGGGAGCAGGACCCCGTGTGCTAAATAACACAGAAACCACTGATGGTTCTCTTCCTAAAGACTTCCCAGTCTGAGATGAGAGATGAATCTGTCTGGGCTGACAGGAAGCGTGGGAGACACCATGAGACAAAGATGGTTAGAGTGACAGGCATCAATCACAGCCCATCAGCCACAGAGGTGCTGTCAAGGGATTTGAAGCTTTGTGAGTGGGTCCCCTAAACATTGGAGGTGTGGTGGGGATCCCTCTGAGATCAGAGACCCCTGTGTAACACTCCCACACCTTTGGCTGCTACAAACATCAGCCAGTCTGATTTAGAGAGTCTTTATTGCTTAATTGCCCCAACAGAATTGCTCTTTTATTGCAAATAAGTTGTTATTGCTAACAGCCTCAGTGTTGGATCCAGTTCTCCATCCTTTTTGGGATAGAAAAGAAAATGTGACTGATACCCTCTGCCTGATTTCCATGTGCACTGCTCCAAAGCCATGGAAAAAAACAGGAATCTGAATGTTCAGCAGTGCTCTCACAAGGAATCCAGGAATAAGGAGGAGGAGCCAAGAGGCCGGAGCAAGTCTGGGTTTTATCTGATACCTGCTGTGCCTCTCTGAATCCACATTTCTGTGGTTATGGCTGTCCATTGCCGGGACAAATAACCCAACCAGCCCCCCAAGAATGGGGAAAGAGATTGGATTAAAATTAGATCGCTGTTCCTGGGCACTGTGTGGAAATAAATGTGTTTCCAACAGGCAGAAGAGATGGACAGGCTGCTTTTATGCTGTACACAGAAGATTAGGGGTGTTTACTCCATGGCCAGTAACTCAGTCTTTGGTTCATTGTCCCTGCTGTAAATAAATACCTGTTGGAAGGAAGCTGTGCTAAAAGGCTGGGGGTGGGAAATGACGGCCCTGGAGGAACACGTGGAGCAAGGAGAGGAAGGAAAATGTTTCCAGGCAGGAGGAAACAAATGGTGCTGGAGCCAGGCAGGGCTGTGACCCAGGTCAGGGATGGGGAGGAAGCAGCAGGGATTGCTGGCCAGCATCGGAAGCAGACTGAGTTTCTTTTCTTGGCTGGGCTGGGGAGAGCTCACAAGGGTCCTTGTTGTGAGCTGAATGCTGTCTGCTCCTGGCAGGCTCCGAGTGCAGCTTTGCAGGTTGGGCTCTGCCTTTCTGCTTCAGCTGGCACCAGCAGCCTCCATTTCCCTGGAAATCTCCATTTCTGCTTTTACTCACCCATTTTACCAGGAGAAGAGTCTGGCCCAGCAGCAGAGAAGGACCAAAGGCAGCTGTGGTCTGGGGTCCTCTGACCCCAAAGCACAGGCTCCTCTCTGTCTCCTGTGCTCCCAGCACTTGTCATGCTTTGCTTCTGTTAAACATAACCACACACCTGCTTTGCAGGGAGATTTACATTAAAAATTATGATGTGCTTAGATAGAGTCATTAAGGAGGGATCAGAGGAATGTGTAAGATAAGCACAGACATCTGTTCTCCAAAAATGCTGCCTTCCCTGTGTGCACTGCTGGTAATATTGATCAGAATTCAGCCCACAAACACACACTCCTGCAAAAAGCTGAAGTTTAGGCCAAAGATCACATATCCTGCTTATTATCTTGGTCTGGGAACTGGCCAGAATGAAGGAGAAAGTAAAGAAAGTTGGTATTAATTGCTGAGGAGAAAGTTTTCCCTCCTCATGAGGAGAGAAGGGTTGGTTTATGCTGGAGCTGTAAGGAAACAGAGCTTTGCAAGAAGGGTTCTCTGTATTTGGAGTTCTGCTGTTTCCCCACGCCCCCAGATCAAACCATCCTCTCTTCAATCCCTTGGCTCAGGAGGGAGGTCTGGGATTTGGCATTCCTGTGAGGCTGATGGAAGGGGGGACGTTCTGCTCCCCATTTTCTGTGAACACCCAGGGGAACAATCTGCAGTGAGCTCAGCCAGGGAGGACTAAAGCAGAGACAGGGCCCATGGGCACCATTAATGCACAGCTGGGGGAACATTTTCTTGTCAGGCTGGAGAAGGGGGAGCAGAGCTGCCCTTTCAGCCTCGTGTCTCTTTTTTTTTCCCATTCCATAGTTTCCAGTTCAAACAACAGTTCCTGAATCCCTCCTGGGAGGGTCTCTGTGCTGGAAACCCTGTGATCCCCTCCCACTGCAGGTCAAACACTTCTGTTTGCTTTTTAATCTCCTGTTGGGAGACAGTGAATTGTTCTGCTGTGGAGATGAAGCCTTGTGATCTCCTAGATCTGTTTTGAGTCCCGTGACTCCAAATGGCAGGGCTGTAAATGAGTGGAAGGGTTTTGCAGTAGTATTTTTAAAGGGGAGTCCCTCGGGTGATCTGTATGAAACAACTGCTCTGGAAAAGTCAGATATTTGGTCCCCCTCGCTGTTTGGTCTCTTGTGAGAGAGCCAAAGCTTCTCTGAGGCATAAAACATGCTGCTTGCTGAAAAAAACAAGCGCTGGCTGAAAGGAAAAGCAAATGTTTCAGTACTAAATGGTGATCTACCTCCCACATTAAAAAGCACAGCATGAAAAATAGTAAAAGCTGCTCTAGCAAGCTGCAAACTCTGAAAATGGGTCCATTTTAGCTCACTTAATCTGCCTTTTTTGGCATTTGGCTTTAAGAGTGCAGAGGTGGGATCCAGTTGAAGGAGAGCACTGATGATGTGTAGCTGTGTCCCCTGCTCGCCGAGCGTGCTGAAGCGTGAGCGAGTGCCCGGGCTGCGAGCAGGGCTGAGTGTGCCGTGCCAGGAGCGCAAAGGGCTCTCACCAGCTCTCTCTGAAGAGGAGAATTTGCTACAGGATTTCTCCAGCACCTGGTTTATCCTCTCACCATCACTGCAGAGCCCTGAGAGCCACTCGTGAGCGCTGTTGGGTTTTGCTTTTTCCCGGGCAAGCAGCGCAGTAATTGCAGCAGCGTCGCTGCCGTGGGACGAGCAGGGCTGGAATCAAAGGTGACTTTGATGGGCGGGCTCTGAAGTGGTTGTGGGGGATGATGAAATGGATTTTTGGACCCTCTCCAACCAGCAGTTGGTCTCCACTGCTTCAGTATTAGCAGAGATTTAAGCTCCACGCAGGAGGTGACTGCTCACATCAGAGACGAATTTGGTCAAACAAGCTCCTTGGGAGGGTGGGGGAAGGTGCTCTGCTTGAACCAGGAGGGTTTGAAAGGTGCTTTGTTCATCCTTTAGAAGCAGGACGTGGCCTGGTTTTTCAGCTGGGTGGAAGGGGTTTGCAGGATTCGGTGCGCAGGGGATTGTCATGGCAACCAGAGGGAAACCCCACGAGGTGGGAAACAGCCAGGCACAGGTGAGGGGAAGCAGGAAACCTGTTCAGAGAGGATAAAAGCTGCTCCCAGCAATCCCGCTTCCAGGGGGAAGAATGAGTATAATTGAGTATTTTAAGCAGCTTCCAGAACCATCTGAGCACAGCAAGGAGAAACCATTTCCTGTAACAGCCCTCCTGAAATACTCAACTACCTCAGTTCTCCTCCAGAGATGCTGATCTCTGTGGAACTTTGCTGCCAAGACCGAGGGAAGCTTTTAGGAGAAGCTTCAGTTCAGTTTTAAGCAATCCGGAGAGGGGTTTTAATACCTGGGGTAGAATAGGGGGGTGCTGTATGGGGCCAGCATTCCAAAGGGATGGGGAGGGGGATTTTGGGCGTCCATAGGGTGGTGCTGGGTTATGAGAGGCTGTGTGCAGCCCAGAGCTGGTGGGAAGGGAGGATTCTGGAAGCAGCTCCTGCCCCAGCAGCTCTGAGGCAGCAGAGGCAGCACTGCAGCAGCAGGGAGTCCTTCCCTGCTCAGTCACACTCTCATGGCTTTTTAGGCTCTGGAAAGGATTTAAAAGTTAAAAAAGAGAAGTGATGCCGAGGTTAGGGGGCAGACTGATGCCTGCTCCCCAGGAATGGATTTTCAGGGATGTGCTGAAGAATTCAGGTTCTATTTCCCCCAAGCAAAGGCAGGATGGTGATGGGAAGAGCTGGTGGTGCCTCTTCCCTCACAACGTGACCTAAACGTCAGGAATTTGCATTTCCCCTCCAGTGACTCCACAGGCCGAGGGGGTGAGGTGCTAAGGAAGCAGCTGAGGAACTGTGGGGAAGCAGGGATGTGATTCCCTGGCTGGGAGGGAGCTGGAACTGTGGGGAAGCAGGGATGTGATTCCCTGGCTGGGAGGGAGCTGGAACTGTGGGGAAGCAGGGATGTGATTCCCTGGCTGGGAGGGAGCTGGAACTGTGGGGAAGCAGGGATGTGATTCCCTGGCTGGGAGGGAGCTGCCTTAGCCCATTGGAAGGCTGATGAGCCTTCGGAGGGAGCTGCTCGATAACTACATGGAAGGAGCAGGTTAATGTCCCACGACAGCACACTGTAAAATGGGTAATTTCTGTGCACTGTGCATTTTGCAGAGCAGCAGCTCTGCCTAAATGAAGGTTTATGCAAAGCCCCTCTCAGCGGTGGATGCACCATTAGGCTCCAGGATGGCTGGTTAAATTGCACTATTGATTTAATGTGCAAGGATATTTTTTAGAGCACTGGAGAGGTGCAGCTAATGGCTTTGCTGGCTTCTTCAGATTTTAGTCTGGCACACAAGGACAGAGAAGCCTGTGCTGGTGAACGAGGGCAAGAAAGGATTCACAGATCCCAATGTGGAAATCTGACTGTGCATGGCTGAACGGAGACCAACACCAGGTAAGAGCACACGTTTCCAACAGCACTGTGAAGCTACACAAGGGCAGGAGAAAAACTCTTAAAAATATTCTTTATAATTTCCATTTTTCACAACCCTGATTTTCCTTTACTGCTAAACTTCTCAAGACCATTAGTTAATCTCTCTTTTTTTTTTAATTAATCTATTTTTTAAGACAAAGTGCTAAATACCTGCTGAGAGGTTGAGGGGAAGAGAAATGCAGGGAGTTTAGGCAGGAATTGCACCATTAAGAAAAACCCTTGTGTAAACAAGGTTGCCTTATTAACTTCAATATAGCTAAAGCACAGGGGTGAGGGGTGTGGATTCATCCACATGCCAACACCTGAGGAAAGCCAAAGCAGTGCCAGCAAAAAGATTTTTGGTCAGGCAGAAGCTTTCACTGAGGGAAATATTTACTTTAGACCCACACTGAAGCCACAGAGAGGCAGTGATGAGTGTGGGAAGGTGTGGATTAAACCCTACCTGAGGTGTTTGTTCACCTGAGGAGAACATGGGGTGTCTTTTCCAGTGGAAAGGAGGAAAGAACACACACTGATGGCTGACTCGAGTTTCTTCATGCCCTGGGTGTTTCTGCAGTGGGTTTGCAGGAAAGAAGGACGAGCTATTCACTTGTATCCGCACCCAGCCTGTGGAGCTGTCCTTCATTATTATGGGCAAAGTAATAAATGCACAACTCCCTTTCAGTGGAGTGTAGAACCAGGCCTGAAGAGAGAGGAGGTTGCTGCTCTTAAGTCCTGAGAAGCGAGAGCAGAGAGGGGGTGGATTTGCTCAGCAGTGGTGAACTTTTACCTGCAGTGAGCTCCCTTATGTCCCATTCCCTGGGGGAAGCAGATGGAGCCCTGCCTGCTGCTCTGTGGCCTTGGCAGGGCAGGAGGAGAGCCTGCACCAGGTTCTGGGTGCCAGGGAGAGGCTTTGCAGAGGGGCTGGAGCTGCTCCCCCAGCCCAGCCCTGGGATGTGCAGCGGGACAGGGCTTTGGGATGGCTCTGCAGCAAGGCACAGGGGTGATCTCCACACTGTTTGTGTCTCTGTTGCAGATTTCTTCATGCACAACCTGCAAGGTTCCTCTCCACAGCATCCACCCAGCCAGCCAGGCGGGAGCCAGCACCTCTGCCGCCTCCCACTTCTGAAAAACCAAGCAACACTGCATCCATGAACTGCCCGGATCCCCTGCCCTTCCTCCTGGCCTCGGAGCACAAGCAGAAGCTCCGGAGGTGGAGAATAAAGCACAGAAAGCCAGGACTGCCAGCTCCCGGCACGGAGGCTCCGGCTGGGATGTGGCTGCACCGAGCAGGGGCTGTTTGCCAGCACCTGGGCTGAGGGAGAGCCACGGCAGTGGCCCCTGGGGACTGGTCTTGCTGAGAAACATGAACCTTGTGTGACAGCCTGAGCAGCTCTCTGGCCGTGGAGGGGACAGCTGCCTTCCGAGATGGCACCTTAGCCCTTAATTTTAAACCTACTTTAATCAGTGTTTGTTACGCTGCACAAGACAGGAAAGGTTTGGGGAGGGGGAAAAAGCAAGGCAGGTTAGAACAAACCCTTTAAGCATCACTGTTCTCTGATTTCCCTCTCCTTTTCTTCCCTCAGTTTCAGTTTGGGGGGCACCCTGATGTTCCTCTGTGGTCATGGAATCAAGGAAGGGTTGGGGGTGGAAGGGACTTCAAGTCCTCTGGTCCAACCCCCTCCCATGGGCAGGGACACCTTCAGCTGGACCAGGTCGCTCCTGGCCTTGAATATTCCCAGGGATGGGGCATCCCCCACCTCTCTGCGCAACCTCTCTCAGTGTGACACCACTCCCAGTGTAAAAAAATGTCCTTACATCTAATATATCCTCTTTTGAGTTTTAAACCATCAACCCTTGTGCTGTCCCTGCTGAAAGGTTTGTCCCCATCTTTCTTAGATGGGATGGAGGGACAGGATCAGGGAGCTGCTGCTCACCAGCAGTTCAGCACTGATCCTGGATGGAGCCGTGGCTCCAGCATGTGATTCTCTAAAAACACTAAATTAATTGGAGGTGGGGTTTAATGGCATCGCTGGGGCCACCCACCGTAATATTCATCCAGACCTTGGTCCTGTTTAGCCCTAATTTGGTTCCTGTGAGCATTAGGTATGGGATGTTCTGAAGGTAAATTTCTACTCTTAAAAAATGAAACTGCTTCAAACTAGGGACTGGATGCTAAGAGGTGATTTTAGTGCATTTCCCATTTGACTGGAGTGTATCCTTCAGCCCCAGCCCCTTTTTCTGCTGCTGCAGAGCTGGTGTGAAAAGCCACCCTGGAGCAGCTCCCAGTCCCCTTTGAAGGAGAGAGCAGCACCCTTGGGCAGGGGATCCTGGGCTCAGGGCTCTGTTTATCCAACACCTGGTGGTGCTGCCACCGTGGGTGACTCTGTCTGGGACTGCCAAACTTGCTGAGATAAAAACTGAGGGACAACAGGCCCCTTCTCCCCAGCCAAAACCCCTAAATTCCCTCCCCCTTCATAACTGTTGTCAAACCTTTGAACACCCCCCCCACCACTGTCCCAATTCCTTCAAAAATTTTGAAGCACAATTTTACCTCTGAACTGAGGGAAAAATGTAATCCTGCAATAGACTTGGTTATTTTTAGCCCTAACACACAGAACTGTTAAAATGCTCTGGGTTTGGTTATTGGCTTCACGGTGCAGAAGTCTCCCCTTGGACTAATGACATTATGTATTTCCTGATATTTCAAAGGAAAATATTTTTTGTAAGTTATTTTCTCCCGCTGTATATCAGAACCATTGGGGAAAAGTCACATTCTTTAGCTCCCAGCCACAGAAGCCTTTACAAAAATGTTCCTTTTAGATGCAATGGCTAAAGCACTACTTGGAAAGAAAGTGTTGGATGCTGCTGGCTGCTCTATGGGAACAGGTATTGTTACCTTGGATTAAAACTCTGCACTCAAGTAGATTTATTCGTTACTGTACTGGCCTTCCAAGTTCCCTTCAGTCTGCAAACCCTACAGTGGAAAGAGACATTTTTCAAGGACTACCAAGTTTTCATAGCATTGAAATAGTTTCCAGCTGATGTCCTCTCCGAGCTGCATGTTTTGGTTCACTAATCTGAATTCCAGTCCCTGCTGGGTTCCAACCTTCCCTCCTTGGAAGGAAATAACTTGTCAGAAAAATGCAAAGGATGGAGTTCTGAACACAGCCCTGCACTTTGCTCTGGCCACAGGAGCCTGGGCCCTTTCAGCTGTCCCAGAGCTGCCGTGGTCCTGGGGAGCAGAGAAAGGTGTGACAGACCTGGCCAGGATGGAGTGTGTTCCAGCTGCACTGTCTGTTCTCAGTTTTAAACAAACTGTATTTAAATTTGTTAAATAAAATGATGGTTTCTAAGAGCCAGAATACCCTGCACCTCCATTACAGACACAGTCTGGTGTTTCTCTCAGAGCCTGAATCCTGGTACTGGCACAGAAAGCAGCAACTCCTTGGAGTTCTGCAGGATTCACAGCTCGAGTTTCATCTCTCCCTCTCCCCAAGGAGGCTGCAGCTCCTCTGTGCCTTGGAGCTGCTGAGCTACAAGAACCTCATGTTTACCTAAATCCCAAGTTTCTGTTAACAAGGACAAAAAGAAAAAAGAAGCCAGGACCCACAATCCCACAGCAGCTTTAAGGAGAAAGCAGGGATGCGTTTTCCCACCTGTAATCCCTTTGCTTCTACCCCAGCCAAAGTCTGATCCCTGCTCACTTTCCAAGGGGGAATTTCATCTTTAGGTGCTTCACAGTGTGAGCACTGGTGGAGAGGGGACTGCAGAACTCCTTCTTTTCTCCTCCTTGGAAATTCCTGCCTGGCCTGAAACATAATGATACATTTGATAAAAGACAAAACACATCTCACTTTTTAATTTATTTCTTTTTCTTTTTGAGAGAGAGGCGACCTCCATAGTAAAACTTAGTGGAAAAAAAAAAGCTGAAATTAAAAGTCATTTGACAACCACCTTGCCTTCCAACAAGGGAACACATAATGGCTTTTTTGCAGAGAGACTTGCTAAAATCTGCCTCAAAGCACACCAAAATGGTTTCCACACCTGATTACTCACATGTTCACCAACTATTTTCTCCCTACCTAATTATAAAAACGAGGCGGCCAGCAATAGCACATTTTGAAAGTCTCTGGAAAGCTGAGCTCAGCTTTCGGTTCAGATGGCTTCAATTCTTTCTCTCACCTGCCTCCAGCACCTTTTTCCTCCCCCACATCCAGCAGATGGTCCAGAACATGCGCAGCCATCCGGGCTGGGGGGCCTCAGCAGTCCAGGGAGATGAGCTGCTGCATCCATCCATCCATCCATGGAACAACGGCCCTGCTTCCTCTGGCTGTCCTCTCCTCTGAACTCACTGCCAGAGGGCAAATCCTTCCCCTGGCTCTAGTGGAGATTAGCATGCCCAAGTGCTGAGCCATCACATCCCCAGACATGCAACCAGGAATACTCAGGGTGAGCCAAACATGGGAAAGCAGCTCTCAATCCACGTACTGCGTCCGTCCTAAGTACGGGATGTCCACGGACTGGATGATCCGCCCCGCCGTGCGCTCCTCAAAGATGACAATCTGCACAGGGAGACACAAAATCCCTTCTTACAAAGCCTGGGGGGCTTAAAATACTCTCAGGAGGAGGGGAAGGAAGCACCATTTAAAGAGATCAGTCAGTGTGGGTCTGAACAGTGACTGAGGCTCTGCCTCGGTGGTGCAGGAATGAAGCAGCACCACATCAGGTCTGTCTTGATTTCCAGCTTGAGGCAGAGCTGTGAAGTTCAGCTGCCATCCCTGTCACCCCTCAATGGCTGTCAGAGCCAGAGCCAGCTTTAGAGCAGCACCTTCCTTAATTTTCAGAGATCTTAGGAGCTTGCCCTGTCCCGCCCCTCTTGCTTTCAGCTGAAGGATAACTGATGTCCTGTCCTTTGGGACAAGGATCTTTAATACCCCGAGAGGCAAAGAGCAATCCCAGCAGAGCCTCTCACCTCGTTG